AAAATAATAAAAATTAAAGAAAATAAAGAAATATGCCTGTCGTGCAGATTTAGGAATGGTTTTTGTTAGTATTCTCATAGTATTTTTGTGTTCAGCATTTGGAATGAATTTTCATTTAATGATAAAAATAATTCCTATAATTATCCAATTGTCAAGTGTGTTGCATTTAAAATTATGCACTGGAATTATCCTAATAGTTTCATTTATCTTCCAAATGCATACTATCAACCATATGACCAATCAAAATTTTAAAAGTACATTTTCAGTAACAATACTGAAGTCACATAAGTTATCTTTAACTGCACCTTCAGTTCAATTTCTCTACTATTTTGTGTGTAATGTATATAAATTTAATGATGGCATCTTCATTATTTAAGTTTATTTATCTCAGGATTTAGTCATATTGTAAGACCGTTAATTCAGTTATGATAAGAAGATTCCATAACAATCATTACAAACTACTCAATAATCAAGGCTTTTGCATACTTTTTAAAAGGTAAATTACTCCTGAAGAATTACTTATATAAACAATTAACTATATAAAATGTTTAAATCTACAAACAAATTATAAACATAATACATAAAATATATGCTACTAACTCTTAAGCATAAGATTATGTTTAGATATTACTTTCTCAAATAACTTTTAACTCATTTCAAACTATAAAGTTTTGTGACCTAACTTAAATTTATTTATAGTGTTGAAATGTTTAAGGAAGTTTGGAATCCTGTCATGTTCTTTACCTTCAAGATAAGAAAATATACATGGTAATATATATATATATATATAAAATAATGATATGTTCAGGTAGTTATCAAACTTTATGTCTTTTAAGCCCTATTTTTTTTAACTTTTTTTTTTTTTTTGGTAACAGGACTCAAACTCAGGATCTTGCTCTTGCCAGGCAGCCACAGTGTCACTGAGCTAAATCCCCAGCCCTAAGCCCTATTTTTAAGAAAAAGTGAATGTAAAGAAGCATTTAGTTTCTTAAAACAATTTATTTAAATAATAAATAGAAAATGTATATCTATATTAAATATATAATCTTTGTAATAAGAAAATAAATAAGTAAAATGCAAATATTAACTCTTACCAGCAGAAGTAGTCACAATTTGCCCTGTAAAATAGAAAACAAAAATATCTTAGATTGTTTCAAATTTCATGTATGCATATAAGTATGCCAAACATAGATGTATACAAACACATATGCATATGTATCGTGTCTATGTTACAATGTAGCAATTTTCTGAACATTTTGCCTCAATGAAACTTTTTTCTCTCTCTTAATGTCATGTTTACAAAGCCCAAATATGTCAAAACTGTAATATTTTCTAATTACTAGGCAAAATAAGAAAAATGATAGAATAAAGGAGAACTGTTGAAATTAATTTTAAGCCTGCAAACATCTTTAGGAAGAATTTTGGAAAGATGTTTTCCAGAACCCATTCATTTATTTATATAATGATTTGAGTATTTACTCTATACTAGACATTATGCCACATGCTGGGAATATATGGCCAATATGTTGAAATTCCTTGCCATCAGTGATTTCTGTTTAGTCTGAGAAGCAGAAAAGAAAGGATCCATAAAATATGAGACAGACTGCCCTAAAGAAGAATATAAGAGGCTTGTCTTATTTGGATACCCGGGGTTGGTGGCTGGCTACAGGAGGAGGTGTTACAGAGGGCTTTCGGGGGTGCATTTAAGTGTGGCCTAAAGGACTGTGTATAGAGAAATGAGAAGTCGGGGTTCATCTCACAGGCTTTAGGTAGCTGTTGGAGTGATGTCTTTAAGGAGAGGTCTAGTGGAGAAGCATTTGAATTTTAGTCTTTTTGTGAAAGAGAAAATAGATTGATAAAAAAATAAGAATTAAGATATACTATGTACAGGTACAAATTCTCTATGATGAATGGAATCATTATGTATGGCAAATATGTATTAATAAAAAAAAGAACTGTACAAGAAAAAGAAAACATCTTTTAGTAAACATTCTTGGAGCAGGGGAAGAAAATGGATTAATAGAAGCCACCCTGGTGACAGGAAACTCAGGGGAAAGCAAATGTAGAAATGATATCCTATTTGGGGAAAATATTAGCCCGAAAAATGTAAACAAAGAAAGGATACCAGAAATATTTAGTCAAAACTTTTTAAAGTTTTGGAAATGAGAATTGGGGAGAATGACTGGTAAAGAAAATCTTTCCAACTAGTAGATTGTTTTGTATGCCAAATGCATGTTAAATGTTTCAGAGACATCAATTTAATTCCAAGAGGCTCAAAAGCAGTGCATTTTTAAAGCGCCTATGTGGCATATAGTATTTTTCTTTTTATTATACGGAAAAATTAAACAAAATTTCATAACCAAATAGAGAATAAAAATAGTTACTACACTGTGCACAGTTATCTTCAAAGTAGTTAGTACAAGACATAAACCAAAAAGATTCTTACAAAACAAGAAACAAACAAGTAATAACACAATGAACTTTCAATGAACCAAGATAAAGTATTAGTATAAATTAAACAAATTAGTAAATTAAAACTACACTGAGATACCATCTTATCCCAGGAAGAATGAATATCATCAAAAAATCTAATAATAACAAATGCTGGTAAGGGTGTGGGGATAAAGGAACTCTACTACATTGTTGGTGGGAATATAAACCAGTACAACCACTGTGGAAATCACTGTGGAGTTCCTCAAAAAACTAAAAGTAAAAATTCCATTTGACTGAGCTGGCCCCCTCTTAGTTTTCTCCCCAAAAGAGTTAAAATCATCATATTACAGTGATATATAGTATTTTAATCAGGGTTCTAAAACAAAAGGCAAGAAGTAAATTATTGAAACAAAAGATGACCTCAGGAGATTTATCTTTATTTAAAGAGCAATTCAGAAGTGATATCATTGTATTATTAATTGGTAATATCCATCTATTAAGCTCTTTGCTTGCATTTGTTCTCTTAAGCATTGCAAAAACCCCTCTGAAGCTTAGAAAACACAAGTGACCAGGCTGGTGTGTGCTCATCCAGGCTGGAGTCTGAGCCCATCTGTCTCTGAGGCTCTGTTCTGGACGCCTAGGTGGCCCAATTCCCTCATCAGTCTGGCCTTGCAGCCTTTCCTCTTCATCTAAACTTTGCAGGGTATGAAATCTTTTAGCCAGTGTTAGGTTTCATAGAGAATATGTTCATAGAGAAAATGCATTTCAGTCAGGACTTAACTTCAGAGAAAATTACTGTAGTAATGTTAAACATGCTGAAATAACCTTGACCTTAAAAATGACTATGCATAGTAAATTACAATTTACTCAGTGTTCTGTATGTGTTACAAACATTAAAGAAAATTCAGAGATTTGCCAATTTAATTTATTATAGGATACTATTTCCATAGGAAAGTCAAACTACAGCAATAAACAAGTATTGTAAAGTACTACAATTCATAAACCTCTTTTCAGCTGTGAAAAGGTTTCTAAAGGCTTAAGAACAGAATAACAGATATTTTTGATCTAATAGTTGCTTCATATTCCACATTTCCACAAATGCTTTAATCTTTTTTTGTTTTGTTTTGTTTTTGTGGGGTTTTTTGGTACCAGGGATCGAACTCAGGACCTTGCGCTTACAAGGCAGGCGTGGTGCCACTGAGCTAAATCTCCGGACCCAAACCCTTTAATCTTTAATGCAACAAAATTTAATGCCCCTGGATAACAACATAATATCTGAAGATCTATCACATTTTCTTTTCTTCTGCGTTCATATTTACTTCCCATAAAGGCTTCTCAAGTTAAACAGACGTTTTCTTTAATATTCATTTATCTCTGAATGTGATTTTGAATTCCTCCACTGGGTGGCTGTGTTCTAATAAAATAACCTGTGTCTTGTTTTATTTTCTTTCTATGGTATTTCAAACATGCACACATACACGCACACACCCTTTTATCTTTAGGGAAGAAAATCTCAGGATTTCAGGCTTACTGTTTATACACAGTGTAAATGCAAACTTGCTTGTTCTTGTGGTCACAACATCTCTTTATTTTCAGAATTAGTAACAGTTTTATTCAACATGATACATGATATTAAAAATATGTTAACTACACCCCCCCAAGAATTTATAGAACCACTGTAAAATGAATTTTTAAAATTGAAAACCATTGTAAAATTTAAGCCAATGGCCTTAAGAAACTGGAGGCATTTCAGCAACGCAAAATAATTTCCATGGGGCATATCCACTAGCATACTTACATGTAAAGTATGTTCAATTATTTTTAAATGTTAAAAAATACCTACACATCTCAAAGTAGGAACACAGTTCAGGCGACTTCCAAGAGATAGCCCAGTTAAAAGAAACCCTAACATCTGAATGACATTTCTCCCTCACAATCATCCAATGCCTTCCATAAAGGCAATCAGTACATGAACAAATAACTTGTGTGTTGACTGCCTCTGCATATAAAATAAGATAGATGGTAGGTGAACCACACTACTTAAATAGTGAAAAGATAGAGGCCCCCCAACAGATTAGTGGATAAAGAAAATGTGGTATGTCTACCCAAGGGAACACTACTCAGTTATGCAGGATAAATTTGAGTCATTTGGAGGAAAATGGATGCAACTTAAGACCATAATGCTAAGTGAAATAAATCAGACTCAGGAGGTTACATATCACCTGGTTTCTCTTATAGGAGAAACCACAAATACAAACAATTGAAAGCACAAAACAGAAGACAGATGATAGGATAGAGGGATGTAGACTTTTTGGAGATGGAAAAAAGACCTAAAGTTGGGGGGAATGGAAAGGATGCGAAGGAGAAGTAAAAATGAATGAGATACTACATGTATATTTGCCAATTCCCCAAGATGAGTGTAATTATTATGTATCACATCCACATGTGAATAAAAAACAGATGCCAAAATATTTAGAAATATATATATATATATACACACACACACACACACATATATATATACCAAATATACCAAATGTCTGGAATAACTTTTTAATGTCTCTGTGACATTTTGCAATTTTTTCTAAACTATGAGTAAAGAATTCAATTGTCTATTATATTTTGCATATACAAACATCATCAGAACATTTCCAAATCATTGGTACAATAGAAACAACTGTATTGAATCCTTATTGTTAACCAAAAAAAAAAAACCCTGAAAGGATTAGTTGTGCGAGATATTTAATTCTCTTACAGCCTACCTATTTGGCTGCACTAAATGATCACTGCAAGATTAATCAGTTTGGCCAATGCAAAGCAAATGAACTCATATAGGTATATCACTTGTTTGATGTATTTAGACACCCCTCTTCACTATATACTTAATTCCTATATAATAGAAAGCAAAAACTCTTCTGTTTAAGGAGCCAAATAGATCTGGTAAAAGTAAGTGAAATCTTTGTCTAAAGCATTTAACTAGTACATAATAGATGCTTATTCAATATTAGAGATTTATTAATAGAAAAAGCATTACAAAATATGTACACTATATACAAACAATACTGAGAAGAGGTGGAAAATAGCTACAAGAAAAATACATGAAATAGCAGTGGGAATTAAGAGGGCACATATATAGATATGCAATAAAAGAGAAAACATCAGTTTTCTAAAAGTATGAAACACAATGTGCATTCTTTTAAATTCTATTAACACATCAAATAAAATAAATTGCAGTAGTACACTTGGTGTCTCTATATATTAAAAACAAACACTTTACTCCTCTGGGGACACAATTTTCAACATTTTTTTCACATATATGCCTTGTGTCATCAAGTAGGCAAAAGAATATTTAGTAATATTTCAGTAGGTGGCACCATAGCCCCAAAAATCAGTAAATCATCTAACCCGGAGCGCTTTTTCCCATTATAATCCTGTTGTGAATCGCCAGTGGAATTGACCCAACACATTAAACAGATGAAAATGTAGATAACAGAACCCTTGATCTTCAAAGCTGTGTTACTGTAACACATGTATTGCTACCAAATTTACCTTTCCCAATATGTTTCTTTTGCAACTCAAAAGCGTTTAAATGATTGTAAATCAAAGTTACCTTGAAGTCACACCCCTAAGTCCCCCATCATGGATTTCAGAAAAAAGTAGGAATCAATTTTGAGTGAAAATGGTA